TAATTCCCACAAGCTCAGTGTTGCTCTGTTAATTCTCTATGAAATTATAGTCTACTTACACTGGACTCCAGGTGGCTTTATGAACAAATAATGTACCTCCTTCTGCTGCATGCTGCAGTTAAATCAACAGAGGGCTAATGGGAGAAATCGAAACAACAAAATTAAGACATCAATTGTTTCCTCATAAACGCCTGAAATGACCAAAGTTACAATCGTCAGACAGACTATGAGATAAACATTTGTCAGGTGTGTCTGGTATTATTGGTCTACCACAATTATTGGCATTAAAGTAACACAAAATAGTCTTTTAAACTTTAAGCTAGAACTTTTAACATTGATCTAATTGATTGAGTTAGAAACTTGACCAGTTTCATATGTGACACCACTCTGCAGCCCTCTACGGACCAGATACTACACCTAACAGTGTGTGGAGCGGGAAGGTGCTCTATAGGGAGGCAAAATCACGCCCATCTATTTCCAGACCATGGGTCCCTGGAAGAATGAAAAAACAAATGCAAGTCAAAGGGGCTAAAAGTGCAATTTTCTGATCACGTTTGTTACGTGCCATGGACTTCACCTATGATATCCGCAAATTTTAAAGGCACATTCTGATGCCAAGAAAGTGCTAATTTTCAAATCTCACCTTGTGGTAAGTAGCAGCTATGCTGGGGGAGAGGAGATTCAGTGGTGATGTCATAAATGTGATATGCAAAGTCTGGTTTGTAGTCATAGTAATTACAAATATTTACAAGCTGATATATCTCAAAGTACGTGACTGGCGTGGTTGAAACACACATCAAGTACGACATATGTGAGATTCAGGGCGTAAAGCAAAGAGGATTAGAAAATTGCTCATGTTAGTGTTAGCTCATTGTTAATGCTAGCTACAGCAGCCTGCAACAGGGTTGTTTACAGCAGTTGTAATTCCACTTTCAACAAGTAGAGCGGAGAAGCAGGAATTTTAGCTGATTGGGGTCTTGTTAAATATAGTCTAGATTAGTGTAATGTTCCTGTTAGTAGTTCCTCCTGTTAATTGCTTATTTATTTAAATGATTCAGGTTTATGAAAAACATTTGGACATACATTTAATTATGTTCCAGTCATTAGTCATTTATATTTCACTATTGTAGTAATTTATAGTAAATTAAGTAAGTTTAGTTAAGAGGGGAACCCATTTTTCTTGCATTCTTTAATGAAAAAAGTAACTAAGTAGTTATTTTTCTTGGTAATTAGTTACTTTTATAATCTCGTAACTCTGTAAGTAACTGAGTTACTTTTTGACAAAGTAATCAGTAACTACAACTAATTACTTTTTAAAAATAACGTTCCCAAAACTGACAGCCACACACTATTCCTTATTGTCATTGGCACATATGATGTCATTTAGCACTTCACATATTAAACATCAAACTCCTCAATTACATCTCTTCTCACTCAAAATAATCAAAATATTTTTGTTTGTTTGGTACATCTGGCCTAACTTCTGTCATCTTTTGCAAAGATAAGGTTTTAAAGGTTAAGTATGCGATGAGATATGTGATGTTATTTACCTAAAAATGATTTGGTTTTTCTTTTTTATGAGGACGGACCCCGCATTTATTGGTATTGGTTTAAATCGTAATGGAAATTAGGTGTGGACAACATTAGTATGTTGGATATTGACAGAAAACCCTGATGTGAATATTAAAGATGAAACAAAGGGAAATATGTTGCAATGTATAAAGGAGAGTATTTGCAGAATACTACTGTTTATAGTCTGATTAAGATTCAAATAAATTCAGACATCATGTTTCATTTTACACCCACTCCACCAAAACGGAAAATCAGAGAGTAAACGTACTTGTGAGTCATGGACAAGGGACATTTTGATTTCTGTGCAAAAAAGTCCTATAGCTCAAACAGATTTCAAGCTAAATAAACCACATATAATTAAATCATAGTCAATACTATTTTGATTAATAGTGCTTTAACAAGCAACATTTGAAATAAAATAAAACAAAAACAAATAAGATTCTTCAAACCTTAAAAGGGTGGAAATCATTACTTAAACTTTTTTAGCAATTAATTCGGTTCAAACTTTAGATATGAGATATGTTTGTTTTGGAAATGCAAAACACATCATTTGTCCTTTTTTGGTTTTACTGCTGAATGTTAACCAAAACATAAATTTATGCTTAAAACATACACATCCACCCATCATGCTAGCTTGATCCTGTGCAGGGTTGCAGGGAGTGCAACGCTGGTGCACATCTCTAGAGGGTCATTGGGTGAGAGGTGGGTTAATTCAACACATGCACATACATGCGCGTGCTCACACACACACACACACACACACACACACACACACACACACACACACACACACACAAACACACGCACACACACGCATGAGAACAGTCATATAGAAAAGACCCAGATAGGTTTCAAACTTGCAACCTTCTCATTAAACAAAAGCTCCACCGGGCCTCTCATAACTTAACATATTATACAAATTTCACAATAAAATCATGTAGATTTGAAATAGTCGTCTTAGAAATATGTTCTTCAGTTTTTGTCTTCTTGGTTTTCAAACTTATTAAAATGCAAGAATTTATGACAAGTAGAAAGTCTCAAACTTTACTAGAAATTCAAAAGGGCATTGTAATAATCATTTGCCTGCCTCCCAATTTATTTTCAAAGCCCAAACCACATTGACAGAAATGCCCTTTTCTTTAACGCTTAGCTTGAAAGGAAGTAGATTAAAAATACTCGATGAATCTCTACTTTTATTTGAGTGTACAGAATCACACATGGAAGTTGGAAAAGACTGGATATTTTTCTCTTTCTTAATTTTTTACAAAGATGGTGAATCTTTTTGAAGAGAGAAAATAGGAATGTGACAAACTTGAAGACCATTGTTAGATAGAAAAGCACAATCTTAGGCTGAAAATATCAAAACTGAGCATCGCCGGTACCTAAATCTAGTTTAATGAAAGTAACCCCTGACCAGCTGGTTTTTAGAGGGAATAAGGATGCGTTTATGTGTTAGCCTGGCGTACTATTTCCTGTAAGATTTTTCAGTCTGCCATAAACAAATAAGTGAAGGACAGTTGCAGCCCCGTGCCAAGCAATTAACTAGTGATTTGGCACAGAAGACATTTCTTTCCAGGTGTCCCACTCTGTTCTCCATATGAAGCTCATGTTGCTCAACGCCTCCCGTTTCTCCTGATAGCCTCCTAGGCATCGCGTTAGTTGTGCCAATAAAGCTTTTAATTTGGCTGCAGGAGATGAGAACAAGTGTTCCCACACTTAGCTATGTCAACCTAACAGAATAACATTAATTTGGTCGTCCTTAATGCTCAGGAAAAAGCTTTTTGTCCTGTTATATAAACGGTTACCCAACATGTGGCTTCGCACATGGCCTTCTCAAGCTCTCACTGAAGGACAGAGGTTAGCTGGTGTGCAATAATAATTAGTCAAAAGTACTTTTTTTTACTCTAAAACATAGAATTTATGTTTGAAATTAGTGTTTTGTTCTGATAAATGTGTGGGAAGCTCCTTTAACCAATAAATTTGCAGTGGTCTTTGATAGGAATGAATGCCTTGCAAGCTGTACTCGGGGCAAAAAAGTCCAGAATAGCTTGCATCAGCACGGACAAGCCGGCTCCCGCATAGAGTCGCATTGGATTGGATAACATTGGATAACGTGACAAATAACACAAGCCTGGAGGAGTTCTGCTACGTGGTGGTGTTGCTAATGCTAACAGTTAGCTTCTACTGGTCGAGGCATTGTCTGCTGATTCCTGGATGCTAAACTAACAGCCTTCCCCATCGTGAGTCAACATGAGTGACTCCATGAATAAAAAGTGAGTGTGACGTAGATCTATGAGGATTTTCAAATCCTAAAGTTTCTCCGTCTGTTTCCTCTTAGAGATGGATGTAGAAGACTATTTTCATCTTAAACCTGCATGAAAAACTCACAGTGACTGATTCAAATAAGAAATAATCATTAAAACAATGTTTTTGCAATATTCCACACCTTTAAGTAACATCCTTGAGACACACCCACATCATTTGCACAAGAGAATGTGTTTAAGATTGAGTTACCTTTCATTTAAATGCATCTGGAAGTGATTTTATCTAATAAAACACCTCAGACCTCATTACTAAATCCAATCTGATGAGAAAGGGGGAGTTTTTCTTCCAGCCCGGCTGTGACTCATTCTGCCGGTTCACCCTGGCATCTCTCTCTCTCTCTCTCTCTCTCTCTCTCTCTCTCTCTCTCTCTCTCTCTCTCTCTCTCTCTCTCTCTCTCTCTCTCTCCCTCCCTCCCTCCCTCCCTCCCTCCCTTCAGTTGTTATTCAAAGGGAAAGTTCATCTTCAATCACGGAACCAATGATATTGTGTTAGCAGCTACAGCATAAATGAAATATGCTGTGAGAAACACTGATAGATGAGCATCCCGACCCTTTCAAGACCGGTCCACTGTTACGCTCCCTTTCACCTCCATTCCAATTTATCAAATCTAGACTTTTGCCACCTTTAAATTGGATTTGGCTGGCGAGAGCACGTTATATTTCATTCTAGCGGGGGCCTTGTTTCACGAGGTTGCAACAGTCTACTTCCATATCAGAGCGACATCAAAACAACTACACAAATTCAGGGCAGCGTAGACACTAATTAAACCCAATCATCTCAGCATCCACAGGCGTTGCGCTGTTGTAAACAGCACCGTCAGTGTTGCATGATTACAAAAGTGCGATACAAAAACAGTCTATTTCTGTTCGGTTCGACGCCCTGGGACATCGGTGGAGATGTAAAATCATTAAAAGTCTGCTTCAGCGTTACGATTAACACATGCATTTCCCTTTCATCACGCGTTTGCTGTGGATTCAGACAAACTGTGGGCAGAAAGAAAAGGATCATATGGAGCGTTCAGCATTTGAAAAATGAATTAAAATGACACTGATGTAATGAAGTAGCCATTAAACGTTTCATCAGGAGGGTTGATTATTACTCACCCTTCTTGTCCCCAAAAAACAGAGTTTGTTGTGCAGGATTTGACCACTGGAGGGAAGTGTTATCATTGTAATCCACACGACAGGTCATGTTGGCTGTGCCCCCCTCCACCACCGTCACATTCTGAGTGATGGGGAACTGACCCTGGCTACCTGTGGGATTATAAAACAAAGGTTGAGGTTAGGATCATGGCATGGAGTTGTACTTGGACAAGCTCTGTATTTTTCCTTCAACTTGAATAAACGTCTATACCTTTCTCCCTTTTGATTCTGTTTTGACAAAGTTGCATTGGGCCTCTATCTTTCCCAAAATCATTCGTGCCTTCTTTACAACACAGTGAGACAGAAATAGTCGCACAAGCACCCGGCTGATGTGGCCCCCGGCTTTCAGCAGCTGCTGCTGGGCTGAGGTTTCTTTTTATGGTGGCAACAATAGTAGGTCTTAGCCTCCCGGTGCTCCCCTCCTTTTTGCCGTATTGCAGGACCCTAATTGGTAGCACGGCCTAATTAGAGGTAGTCATGTTCTTTTGTGGATTTTAGTGCTGCAGCTGGGTGGTAAATTGACACATAATCCCAGACACGGTGGGCCTTCGATCCGAGCGACTGCCGTGCCCCGGAACGGGAGCTCGTCACAGTGTGCAGAACACATCCAAATGAGACCCAGTCACCCAGCCTAGCTGGATTTTACCTCCTTATTGCACATTTGTTCTTGTCATCTTGCAAACTCCCCTAATTACCTCACAGAAGTATTCTTATCCTGCCCGCGCTTTATTGAACTCTGCCGAGCGTCAGGATCACATATCTAAAACCGATACTCCTTTGAAGTGAATTGTGATTAGAAGGCAAGCCCAGACCCGCCACTTAAAACATGACAGTATGGAACAATTGTATTGAAGCTCCTGAATCGATGCCTGCGAAGGATCGTCTGTCCACAAGTTAATAATGCGTACACGTCTCTCTAGATTTTACAGGCCTGCCTACACGTATGCGCCTGAAGCTGAAGGTGACATTGTCTCTGCCCCTCCCAGGTACAGTTCACCACAGGGACATCTCAGCTGTCTGCCTCATTAGTCCCACTCACACCTGGGCGCAGAATAAGGTGGGGCAGCCAAAGGTTTGTAGACCTTCCTTGACCTAGATTTCCCCAATGGCGCTATGAGAGGTGAAGGTAAGTTAGACTGTAAACACTGGGCTATAGCAGCTTATCTGCCCGAGGAACAATCAACGTCTCACTCCCAGAGACGTGACTGGGCCTCTTCTATAATTGCAGCATATCTCACCAAAAAAACATTTTCAAATGCAGCTGTCAGCAAGGTACTTTTACTAAACCTTGCGTGTGTCATATCACAACAGGAAATTGAGTACTATGTGCAGTTTTTGCATATCAGCTGTCTTGACGACCCTCATTATCTTAGCTGGTGCCAGAACATCCTGTCCATTACTCGCAGAAAATAGATAAAATCCAAGCAGAAGACTCACATGACTGAATTTATTGCTTTTCACTCCTGCTAGGGTATATCAGACTGAGAAAAGGCTGAAATGTTTTAATTTATATGTGTGTTTTGCAAAAAAGCTGGTAATAAATTCAGATAAATGTCTGGATTGTTTTGAAGCAGGTTAACCCTTTATTGGGCATCTATTGAAGTAGCTTAAAATGTAAATTTTCAACTCCAGGGTGTTATTTATGTTATATGACAAAAGTATTCTGTCTACACAAGAGGAGACCGAGCACTTCTCTGGCTCTGCAGACATACCAATATTTGGCGCATCATAGCCCTGCTCTGACTGGTTTAGCTGCTCTCTGGTGCGAACTGTGACTAGCTTGATCTCTGATGATTGTTTGGGTGAAATCCTGTAATTCTAGGGGTTCGTGAAACGGGACACTGGCATCTTTTATGGTGTGAATGGAAGAGTCTAAACATAGACCCTATAAAGCAGGGGTGTCAAACATGCGGCCCGCGGGCGGGATCCGGCCCGCAAGCGGGTTAAATCCGGCCCGCGAGATGGTTGTGTAAACTTTATTTTCATACTTTACAATGTAGAGTGAAAATAAACGTATCTTTGTGAGCAAGTTTTCTCTGTAATGAGTATAAATAAAACAAAGCTGTGCTCAAGGTTCACACCAGAACTTGAATCACATCCTGAAGTTGGCTGCCACTCAGGATGTGACTTCTGATATTGATGTGCTGGTGAAAGCTAAAAAATGTTAAGTAAAATGAGTCAAATATACTCTGAGTGTTGCATGAAACTGATCTAGCCATGTGATCTGTAAGCTCTTTGAATCACTAAGGAATGTTTTTTTTATTTGTTGATTTTTTTATTTTATTTTTTTCACATTTTCAAGTACACTTCAGGTGTTGTACTTGTACTATTTTGGATACACTGTCCTCAGGCTCCAGCCTTGTTTTATATTGATTGTATTAAAACAAAGAAAACAATCTGAAGTTTTTTTTTAATTTACCGGTCCGGCCCACATGGGACTAGATTTCCCTCAATGTGGCCCCTGAGCTAAAATGAGTTTGACACCCCTGCTATAAAGGGTTAAAGCTGCTATAGCACATTTTGTTTTCACGTTTTCATGCCTCTTAACAACGTTCTAACATAGAGTAGCTATAAATATTAAAAAAAATAAAGTGGCTCTCTTGCATTTGTCTAAAACATCAGCCTCTGGACCGAAAGCAACTGTTGGACCATCTGGCTGTCAGTCTCACCAAACCGCTGCACTTCTGCCCTTCCCTGGGTCCTCCACTCATTACGTACTCATGTGTTTAGCTGCAGAACACCACTGGTGTGAGAGGTTTATGCTAAACCATTTCACAACTTTAGGACAAACTACCAGAATCCCAACTCCAACACCATTTGAAGCCATGGACAACAAAAGACGTTTAGATCAAAAAGATAAAAAACTACGACTGGTGTTCAGCCCTATCTAATCTCCTCTGCCAATTCGGGTCTCCGGTTCCGGCAGAAAGGTCTCAGGGAAGATAGCCGGGGGGGTAGACACTTAATCGCCATCGGTGTTGAAGGAAAAAAATATTTTCTCTTGCAATGACACCTAAAGAGGCAATTTTTTTCCTCACTTTAGATCAGAAAAAATAGGTTAAACTTAGTGGGAGGTCTTGATCTGCTTGGCATTAACGTAGTTTTACCTTCGCTAGATGACCACTGCCACATGCTAAGGGACATCATTTCACAGAAAAAGCTAATTTTTCCTCATTGCAAACCGAGACCATTTAAAGTCACTCAGTAGTGTTTGCACATTTGCCCACAAAAGCTATTAACCTATTTTCCAAACTGTTCAACCTCCTCAGAGGACCCAACATTACCTTTGCTGCCTACATAAAGACAGGCGACAAATTAAATGACAAAAGCGAGCCTTTATTCCTGCAGTGAGGGAATCCAGTGGCTCTGTGCAGACGAGTCATTTTCCTAGCATCTTTAAGTCCACTTGTCCTCTCAGAAGACAGGGTCAACACACATCAATACGAAGTGTGTGTTTTTTCTCTGAGTGATCACCTTTGTTCTGTGATGAAACATCTCTATCATCATGAGAGTGGTCTCTTCCAGGATGACAATGCCCCTTTCCATAGGGTCACTGAGTGATTTGATGAGTGTGAAAAAGGTGAATCACACACATCGGTCCTTGCTGCCTTAAAGCTAATCTTAGTTGTACACACGTGGGAAAATTTATACCAGTGTGTTAGAATGTGGACAAGTGTCTCTGCTATAATCAATAAAACGTAGTTTGATGAATAATACTGGAAGAATATATTCTATCCTCCCGTAGACATTTAGAACAGGTTCTGTTGGTTTATGGCAGCCCAACATAGGACCAATGTTCTTTACATTAAGTGTGATTTATTTTGCAACCATTCAATTGCCTTTAATGATGGAGTTTTAAGCGGTTTTATGTTTGGAACAGTTTGAATTATACTAATTTTGGTTGAAACTTAAGAAACAATTTTGCATGTAATGTCACCAGATCCTGCAAGATCTTGCAAACAATGCATTTGTATTTTTTTAATTGTTCTCAGTGCTCAATGCTCAAAGCTCGATATTTGTAAAATTGAGTCGTGATTGTCAAGCTAGCTGTAGTGGCCAGTTTGAACTGGGTTGACATAAGCCCTCATAATTTGCATCAAACCATTACAGACTTTAAAGAGCAAGTTTACTGAGAAAACAACGCACACTCAACATGAAAGTGGTCTTCTACCCCTATTTCCTGCATTATCTTCTGATGGAAAACAGACGGAAAAACGCTCAGTTCGGAAAAGCCTGACAGATCTACATCACACTGTCACGTAACCTTCATGGACTCAACCATCTTGACTTGCGACGAGGAAGGCTGTGTTGGTTTAGCACCCAGGAGAGAGCAGAGCACGTCTCAGCTAGATGCTAACAGTTAGCTTTAGCAACACCACACCATGTCAAAACTCCTTCAGGCTTGTGTTATTTGTGGAGATAAAACATAGGTGTTGCAAAGCAAATGGAGTCAGTGGTAGAGTCCAAGTTCCCTCTTCTTTTCAATACATTTTCACACTTGCTAACGGGCAAAAAGCGCACGCACAAACACAGAAACAGGCAAAAACATTACTTCCTGCTTTTCCCTTTCAGCAAAGAGCAGGAAATGTTTTTTATGCCAGTGCAGACACATTTCTGTCTCTCTCCACAGTCAGCAGCCAAGTACCACACACTATAACATAACATTCTGTGCACGTGTGTTATTAATTATGAATTAAAATGGAAATGAGATATCTCCCTATGATTGTGTTACAGTTCCTTTTTAAAATAGATTGATATAGCGGAACTCAATATTATTCACAAGTGATGATGAATAAAACAAAACTGAACGAGATTTTTAATACGTAAGAGCACTTTTAAAAATGTAACTGTGTAAATCATTTTCACAGCAACGCTTGAAAGCGGAACGCAAATAATTGAGAAGAAAGTAAGCAAACAAATACATAAGCAATGTAGGTAGAGTGAACTAGATGAAGGTGAAAGGTCATTTTGTTGAGTCATGGCTGAGTTTTATTGAAAAAAACAAACCCACTAGAGAACAATCACTGAGTTACAGCGGGGGGAGGTTTTACGATTCACTGATGATCTAAGATGACTCAGCGATGAAACGATGAACAAATCCTGCACGTATA